TTTCCCTACTACCACACAAGTGGGAAGATCCTCAAAGCAGTTCTCAAACAGTGCATCACCCAACACAATTGCATAAAAGGCTCTGACACCCAATCACTTTCACTTTGTTCTCTACTGTACTGGATATAAGTACAATCTCTAGATACCTGATATTTTCCCAATGATAGAAGACAATGCCTTGGTCATCTTGGCTTTTGCTTCCATCCAATGTAGTACTTTCTACTGGGAAGGTCAATTCCTTGTCAGGGCCAGCCACTGCTACTGGAGGACTGTTGTTTTCTGTAAAAATAATATTTAGTGTATGACATTTGCTAGGTAGTTACTGGCAAGGATTGCCAATCAGAGGGAAAAATATTATATTACAAATTTGATATATAGTGTCAAAGGTACAAATCAAAAGTATAACTGCACAAGCCAGCAGACAATACTAGGTGGGAGACACCAGCTCTGCAACAAGCCAAATCCCACAGCAAGTACTTCCCTTTTCACAGTTATACCTGAAGGCACAGTCACACTCCAAAAGTTTTGCATCATGCTCAATGCATTGTATGATTGTATGAAATGTTTCATAACAAGAGTGGTGGGGTATTCTGCCGGTTCCACAGCTGCATCCCTTTCAAAACCACCTACACAAATATGGTTTTTTGCCCTCGAAGAAGATACTGGCCCAGGTTTTCTGCTGCACGATCAGCACGACACCACTAAGTTAATGCTAATTTAGAGCCTTTAAGGATTTAGTGCCGAAACATATAACTTATTATTCCGTTTTCAACCTCTTCTTTTGTGGCATGGTATAACTGGCAATGCTACCATTTTCCTGGGTTATTTATTTGCCCTTAGACCTAACTTCAGCAATAGCAGCTTTCTAGTTCCACACTATAATGGGTCTAAAAGGCACCACCACACACCGTACTTCCAGTTCATGTTCTTGATTTCTGCAGTAAATGCCCACTGTAAAGTTCTCCCAGAAGGGGTCATCTACAAAAAGATGTGTAATAAGCAACAACAGGAACATAAAACGTTACCCCATGGTGGAATGTGAGACCTTCAGAAGACCACTTCAGATGTAATAGCCAAACATGTTACCAAAAAAAAAAGCATAAAAAAAAATCTCTCATAAGGCCTGGACCATTTGGGCCCGTTCATCACTCAGGTCCCAAATCTAAACAAATATGTGAAAGATGCAGTTTTTGAAAATTCCTTGCTTGGCACTTTTCCCTAGTGAGAATTGAAATCACACAAGGATTCTTGAAGGAGAACTGCAAAACAATGAGAAAACTGAGCAGAACACTGATTGATACTCTGAACAGCTTTGCAAAACAGACTTTGTAGGATCTTGAACTCAAGAGCTACATTTTAGCTTTCAGAAGTACACTCAAACACATCTCCATGCAGGTTGCCTTACATAATCAGGCTGGTGTGAGCCCTCAGGATCACCACCTGGACCTTCTATGATTCTACACTTGTTTTAACTGTTTGATCTGACAGAAGATGGAGGTGGAAGAGTCCTTGATGCAGGGATACTGGACATTCAGACTGCCATCTCAGTGGTGCAATGCGGGGAGATGAGGCATTCGAGGACAGTGCTCAGGCATCAGGCTGGCCCACCCCCGAGGGACCCAGACATGCCTGCAGCTGACTTACCAGGCTGTACAATCAGTGTGACCTCAGCTGTGGACTGCTGCCTCGCAGAGTCTGTGACAGTCAGCTGAAACGTATAATCTCCTTCCTGCATTGCAGATAACTGGAGGTATGGTGTCCGCACTCCCTACACAGCATTTATAAAGACAAAGAGTGACAGAGAAAACAGAAATGCTCATGGATTATGAAAGGTCTTGCAGAGTAAATGTGAAGAAAAGTAATTTTTTTTTTAATTCATAAATACAGTGTTTGAGCAAGCAGTTTAAGCACCTTGTAGACAAAGAGGAGACTCAAAATTTGATGCACAAACAGATGTAATGTATTCACTATTGCAACTGTCCCTACCAACCCAGAGAAATATCTATAGACAATAAACCTTAATTTCATATCTTGGTGTAATTGCTGCCTTACTTCTGAACAACAATAATTGTGAAACACATGGGACATTAACTTTCTCAATTAGGAAACTGAACACTGATGGAAATTACTAGAGCTTATTCCATTTCCTTAGAGATATTTTAAAAACAAACACGATGACATTCTTTAATATAGTATTTAAAAAAATTGTTAAAAGCAAAACCAAGCCTGACTTGATCCCAGCCAGATACACTTATGGAAAAAACATATTAAACAAGACAACTCTGTCCTGAGAATACTCTTCCAGCATTATTAGTTGATATCTATATAAGCTCATAAAACGACTGGGCCCAGCTATAGGTCCTATTGCTAATAAAATGAACATTTGTGGTGTCTCTGATATGAAGAACAACAAACCACAATGTAATTGGTTTTTTGTTGTTGTTTTTTTTTTTTTTTAAAAATAAAGATGATAATGAGAACTAAGGGACTTGGTAAATGATTAACTAACCAGCAGATGCACTTGTTACATCGCACTCTAACCATGGATACCATGTAACACACCTGAGACCAGCATCCTCAGCTTTAAGGACATGAAAAAGATTATTAGGCTCTTGAAATGGAACTGTAAAATGCTCTTGTATTGCCACATTAAAGACTCAATGAATCCATTAGATATCTGAAGCAGTCATTCCCTTCCTTCAGGAAGGTTGCTTTGAGATTGAACAGCTCTTAAAAACTACAAGTGCAGGTTGCATTGATGCTTTTGGAAAGTGTTTGCCTTCGTAAATGAACAGAAATAAGCCATTACGCTATAAGCCCTCCCATAGTTTCATAATTGCCTCTACAGTATATGCTTGCATCAATATTACTCCTTTCCTACACAGATCTACAAAGTGATCTCTTTCTAGTTCTGAAGGTCTAAAGCATTTGCAACATAGAAATCATGTGTCTTATAAAAAATGGCTTCCGAGTTTCAGCTGGCTTCATTACATTAATTACCTCAACTGCCTACAGAGCTACAAGAATCTCCAACTTACTGAGTGCAAGTCCACTGAAAATTTTTATTAACGTTCTATTTTTTAATTTAATTTTTTAATTTAAATAATTAACTATTATTTAACCCAGGTTTAAAAAAAAAAACACAAAAAAACCAACTCAAAACACACAGCCATGAAAACAAGAGAATAAATTCAGTTAGCCTTCTCAGGAAACCCACGTTTTAGTGATCATAAAAAAATCCCACCACAGAGCGTGGCTGCATAACACTGCCAAAAGTCTTGTCTTTCATTCAGAAAATTAAGTTTCTGTTTGAGCCCTACTTTCTCTAGGAGAAAGTGTTAGAAGAAAACCCTGACTACCCCCACATTCTCCCAAAAACAGTTGTCAGCTTGTCCAGCATCTGAGAAGATGGAAACCTGTGGAACAGACTGTAGGGTCCAAGGACAGACATTATGAACTCGAAGTCTTTCCAAACCACCAGGGAACAAACAACAGCAGGAACCAGAAATGGCCACAAGGAATGAAAAAAGGTGATGAGAAGGAACTAAAAGTAGTCTCTAAAAAAAAGAAAAGAGCTGAATACATCAGAGAGGAACAAAAAAAATATTCCAGTGCTTCTGAGCAGTTACTTAGGTATGTGTTTGCTCATGTTAAGAGGCAAAGATAAGAGAGCTGTCCAATCCTATGCAAGGAGAAATAAGACATACCTGCATTGCTACAACCTTGCCTTTGCTTTTGGGACTAAGTGACCACTCATAGTTGACAATTTCATGGTCATCGCTACTCTGATTTCCATTCAGCGTGATGAAGTTCTGGGGCAAGGTGACTGCCTGATTAGGTCCCGCATTGGCAATAGGTGGGTAATCCACTGCTTTGTTGACAGTCAGAGATGCAATGGTGGAGTTGGTTGCTCCATCTGAATCAATCACTGTGAGTCTACAACAGGAAAAACAATATTGGAAATCTGTTAAGATGGATGTCTGCCAAGTCCTAAGTTCAAAGGTTAACTTTTCCTGGCACTTTTCCAAACACCACCTGAAACAGAGCCATTGATTATACAAACTTCTGCTTCAAAAACACATATCCCTCAACTAAGGTAGGAAAGAAATTCAGAACTCTTTTCAAACACACATTTCAACCTTCAAGGAAAAAAAAATAAGCCCAGCCATTCTGGATCCCAGATGAAACCCCTTCCCTGCAGTCAATGGCAACTTAGAATCATAGAATCATTTAGGTTGGAAAAAACCCTTAAGATCATCGAGTCCAACTGCTAACCTAACACTACCAAGTCCACCAATAAACCATGTCCCTAAGTGCCACATCTACAGGTCTTAAATACCTCCAGGGTTGATAACTCAAGCACTTCCCTGGGCAGCCTGTTCCAATGCCTGGTAACCCTTTTGGTGAAGAAATTAATCAAACAGATTTCACTGTGAATTCTTTAAAAAATTTACTCAGTAAAAACCAGGGATTTAATTCATCAGCCACAGTGGAACAGTCCCTGTTAACACCTACATCCAAAACTACTCTGGGTGTTCAGAAGCTCTGCTTATAGCACAGTAGCAGTTCCTAACTTCTTACGTCTTTGTGGCATACTATTGTTAATTTTAATGGAGCTTAGTATTAGGTCAGATTTTTTGAAGATGTCAAGTCACAAAACTAAAAATGTACAGGGTTTAAAAAAACCCACTATTGCCTCTCAGGAACACAATGACAAATCATCTTAAAATGAGATTGCTGCAGACACCTGAAAGTGATGAAAGGCTGCCCTCCACAGTGTGGTAACCGACTACATCTCTAATTCACCTCAGTTGTGAAAACTGCATAGAGCAGACCACATGGAAGGGGACCACTCTTGAAGCCTTTCCATGAGTGGGAACAAAACTAGCGCTCATTAATTCTGTCATTAGGGAACACATACTTTTGCAGTGGGTGCACATCCATGCATATCAGGAGCACTCGATTTTGTTGACCAGCTAATTTCCTGTAAGCTTAAGCACACTGCTCTACTGCTCTAGTACCTCAGCCTCCCCCAAAGGTGCACAGATATAGCAAGTGATTTCTTATTTCCCTAGGATTTGGAACACACTTAAAGGATTACTTGTAAGCAAGCTCTGCCCTTTTTATTATAGAAAAAAAAAAATCTTATGCTCATTCTGCCACTGTACAATACGGAACAATTCCAGTAAAGAACACAGAATGAGAGTTGGAGTGATGGAATTTTTGGTGAAGCTTATGCAAAGCACCATTTTGATGTATATGTATGCTGGCTTCAACATTCTGCTGATGCTACACTGATACATAATATATTGACTGGTAGGCTGTTACCCACTGGCAGCCAAATAACCCAAGCTGGGTCAGTGAGAAGTCTGCCTCTGTGCAGACTAGGCTTTAAGTTAAAAAGTTCAGAAAACAAACTCTGATTTTAATTAAAGCACCCAGAACCACAAACATTGCTTCCATTGTCTGGACAAAATCCAGCTTCAGCGACTGTCTTGGTTTCGGCTGGAATACAGTTAATTTTCTTCCTAGTAG